AGCTACGCTCGTAGTTCTCTGCCACATCCAGTAAAAGTAATCCTGGACAAAGCCAAGGGCACTGCTCTGGCATGGGTGGAAATTAATTAAGACCAACACGCTTAGCCGGGATGAATATTTAGGAGCCTGTGTCCTCTGGCCTGTGCGCTGCAAATTGATTTTCATTCGAAATTGTCGCCTTAAGTGTGATGGACTGCCAGGATGATAACAATCCAAAGTAAATTATGCGGAAGCTTGATGCCAAGATTTAGCTTAGTTAGCCAGCGATGCTTTTGGTTAACGTTATAGGGTTTCATTCTCAAAGAATAACTTGCTAAAGTATACTTAAGAAATGGTTATAATATTTTATATAAATTATTTCTTAACCTCTTTATAGATATATGAAAAATAGTTTATTTTGTATTAATTTCCTCTTTTCTGATGAATGTAAAATATTACCTTAGGAGTTGGGACAATGTGTAATCGTCTGTGACTAAGTTCCTAGCTTCTATATCTACTCGTTCACGTTGCCAACTCTCTCTCTCTGCCTGGGTCCTCTCTAGCCTCATTATTTAGTCTGGTTTGGCTCACGGGGCGTATGCGTAATGTCTTCGTTTATATGTGTGTGTGTGTATGTGTGCGTGGCTGTCGCCTACGTCATTGTCGTCAATTATTTTTGCATGTGTGCTGCTACGTAATGGCGTAATGCTGCTTTAATATCATTATTTTGCCATTTGCTGTTGGTGACCCCCCAAGGGAAAATTATTTAATGCGACGCCGGAATAACGAATTCAATTTGCGAATTCGGGGCAAGGACGAAAAAATACCGGAACGAAGGCGACCGAAAGCAGGCTGAGAAGTGATGGTTCCAAATTATTTGCCAATATTAAACGATAATTTATTTCCAACTGGGCCGAAAATTTGCCTTCGGAATTTGTTTAGCCGCGAGCACGAAATTTATGCCCATGCAGGGAAGACAGCATTGTAAAATCGGAGGGAAATTAATTTCCCATGCATTTGCCGGGCCCAATTGTGCGAAAAATTTATTGCTTCAGCTAATGTTTGGCCTAAGGATAAATTCATGTGTATTAGAGTTTGTGCGTGTGTGTGCCAATCGCATTCGAAGGATTTCAAATGTCAAAGAACTTTGCATAATTTAAACAGTTTGCGATTGCGTTTTCCCCCCAGATTACACCTTTGAGTAAATTTAAAATCAAATTTATTGTCTGGCATAGAAATTGTATTTGTATTGCTTCTGATTAAAGCCAATTTATTAATGCAGCGATAGGCGAATGAATAAATCATTACGCTTCGATTGTCTTCCTGGGGAAAGGTAAAAATTGGTTATGAAATTTCAATGAGCCCTTCGTTTTGCATAAGGATAACAATTATTTTCCATTTGCGGTTAGGGCAATGCCTCATTTTGTATATTTACACATTTATGCTAATACTTAAACCCCTTTGAGCCGCTTTAAGACACGAGCGGGAAACTATTTTCCTGCATTTTCATTTTCATTCATTTTCAAAATGCAGAGGGATTATAATTTCCGCCAAGTATTTTTTATCCCCACTACTTTTCCGAGACGCGCTTCCTTATTTTCTTCTCGTTGACTTGTCAGTTGTGCTCTTCCTGATGAAAGTCAGTTTAATTTTTGCCGCTGTTGTTGTGAAAAGCCATTGTTTTTCCCATTTTCCGGGCAGAGGATGGCGAGAAGTTATGTACTCGTATACATAAATAAAGGACGTGGGCGAGCAAAAAAATTATAAGCCTTTGTTTGCCGGATAGTCAGCATAATGAAACCCTAAAACGCAGCATAAAGAAGATGGCCCATTAGGGCAATGAGGAGTCGTCGAAAGAAAAAGTAGAGGAAGAATTGCGATAAAAAGTGTGTGTGGAAGAGAGAGAGACTTTTCCTTCGAATATTATTATCAGGAGACGAACTCTGACATGCAAAATGCATTTAGCTAAACTAAAAACATAGTTAAAAAGTCGCATTATTTCCCATCACTCGGAAAGTTCGCCATCGCACTTAATTCTTTGTTTGCCAGCTCCTCTTTTGGCTTCCCAACTCTTTTTCAGATTGCATTTCTCGCTCATATTTTCTTCGAGCGAATTTCCCACAATTTTGCATAAATTAGCATGAAAAATTACAGTTTCAGTTGGTCCGAGTATCTGTCAACTCTTCGGTCTCCTTGCAGACACTGCTTTTATGCAAGAACAATAGTATTATGCAAAAACAATAGTTTTTGTTTCCGAATTCAAGCCATGTGTTGCGAGATACTATTCTACTCTTCAATGCGGTCGAAGAATTCAACTAAATAATTACTAGGAAATTCGCAAAAACTCCAGGCCAGGACTACAACTAGAATTATGTATATATCTGGCTCGCCTTCATATCTTTCAATGGAGCAACCAAGGCCAAAAAGCCATTTCCTTCGGCCACTATCTCTTTTTTGCCTTCCCTGCCTTTGTATGGGTACTTTCATACCCACTTAAGCAGGGGGAAGGCAAGACAGTCATTTCAATAAACTCAAATAACAATGCCCAGGCAAGTAAGTCAGAAACATTTTCATTTCCATTTCCAGTCAGACAACTGCTAAACAATTTTCCCTTCTACGTTCCACCAACGCATTCCTTTTGCTTTGCCGTGCCTTTGCCTTTGGATTTGGATTTCTTTTTATATTTGTGAAGATTCCTTCGTTTCGGTTGCTTTTCACAACTCGGCAGAGCACCAAAACTGATTAAATTTCCGGAAATACATGTCTGCGAACGTATCGAATCGATATGCTATAACGAAGCAGTTTTTCCCACATGAGGGCTCCGAGATGGGAGCATTGAATATAAAGCATACGCTGCCACGAGCCCTTTGGAACTTTCGTTTAGTTAATCGCACAAAAATAAAACTGGGAAAAATACAATAAAATTCGGGTTTTTCGAGTTATAAAAAAATAAGTAAAGTAAGTTATTTTCTCTGTACAGCATCGAGATATTTAATAAGTTTGAGTATGCCTTTGAAAAGACAGATAAAATCAGGAGAAATCTGAACAAACAAATATCCATTACACCTAAGGATTGACCTAACTTTGAACTTTATTGCCCATTGTCTGACCTGCCTCCTCTGCCCCTTTTCTAATTGCTTGGCCCACAATTCTTAATTTAGTTGTGCTACTTAAGCAGTTTAATGCCAAGGCGGCCGAGACTGCTCCTTGTCCAGGCCGCCCTTTCATCCGCAACTGCCGGTGCCGCCTCTGTCTCGAAAGACAAATTAATGACCCTCGGACCGAGCTGCGGCTGCGGATGCGGATGCTCCGTCTTGGCGGCGCTGAATTTATGGCACAAAGAGCACGAAAAAAGTTGCGGCAAGACGGAAATTGCGGCCAGTTGGAAAGTCAAGAGACTACTTCTCGTTGGAGATGTAATTCCACGACCCGGCCACTCCGACCCGCTTCCATGATAAAACGTTTTCCATGGCAATTCCCTGGGCCGCTTATCGCGTTTTGATTTTTAATTAAAGCAAAAGTATTTCACAAACTGGAATTTCGTTTCGTTTATTTGCAATTAAATTAGGCAAACAACATGAAGACACTCTCGAATCCAATTATCTCTCGGAGAGCCGAGATACAAATTACAAATGTGAATAAAGTCATTTCGAATACTGGCGTGAGTACGTACAACTTGTATACAAATTTGAACTTTTTGACAACTTTTTGTTTTCTGTCCAAAAGTTCGGCAAGAATTTGTGGAGGAGCAGCGAAGAGCAAAGTTTGAGATGTTTTTCCTGTCATGTAATAAGGCGGCATTATTGTGTACGTAGAATCGTTGAGTGTGCCTAAGGAGAGCCTTAAGCCGGCTTGTTTCAAGTCGGGCAAATAAGTGAGCGAGTCGGACATTAATAGCAATCAGAAAAGTTGAGGCCGGACGCCAGCTGTTGGCTCTGCAATAAGTGCATATTTATATGTTTGTCACACTGTTTTAGCACTTGAAAGTCCTAACCGCAGCGTCACTGGCCCCTAACCCACTTACAATGGCTACACAAGGCGCAATGTCTGGGCAACAGTGCGTATGATTTACAATGTTTACCCTGGACGGGCAGGGTGATGCAGAGTTAAGTAACGTAAAGTCACTATTGCTGCGGACAACTTGATGATGTTATTTGCTAAACAAACCAAGCAACTCGCACTCCCTACTCCTCTGTTTGCCTATGTGACTTGGCCTGGGGTAAATTATATGCGGGAAATTCACTCGAATTTCGCATAATAAATGAAAAGCGCCAACGAGCCAAAGTCGAAGTCGTGAACGAAGACAAAAACGGAGGCGAAAGCCATCGCTGGGCCTGATGGAATGTTAAAATAACTCAATTTCCAGGAACACAATTAATTCAACTAGTGAGCCGAGGATTATGAGCGGAGAGGCAGCCGAGTCTAATTACTTTGCTAATGATCTGCATAATAATTTACTTACACTTGAGGGCACCATATAATTAAAATTTTACACCACCTCCGGAGTCACTGATTCAATTAATACCCTGCAGAAGGACGTCTGGAGTCAAAGAGATCATCCTAGTTCAGATGAGCTTTTATTATAATTTAATTTATTTATGAAATTAAGCCAGTTTTTTAATTAAATTTGATGGATGTTTCATGATTTGTAAATTTTGTTTAAGAAAATTCAAGTAATTCTTTTGTTGTGCTTTAAAATTATCACAGTTTAAGAAAACTAGTGAGGGCATTAAGAATTTCCTAGTCAATCGTCTGAACCGCTTCGTATGCCTTAGATAAATTGTTTGTCGCCCCAGATACGCATTCAAATGGCGCGTGTCGGGTTAATTATTAAGCATAGGTTAAGTGCCATAGACAGCCAGAGGAAGGTCTAATGAAAAGTGTGCCATCTCTTTGAACCAATTGCAGCCACTATGGAAGGCCTCAGCCCCCAGCCGACGACGGCCAACGCCTGCTCATCCTTTGGCACATTCTCGACCGCCTCCGTTTCCGCGGGATCCCAGCGAGCGCTGAGTACGTGAACGTCTCCGCGGAGAATGTCCGCTTGCATGACAATTGTAGCGTGCCGGCATTCAGAAAACGCAGCACCAGCAGACGACGCGGCTGAGCGAGCAGTACGTGAAGTGATTCTCAACAAGGTGCAACGGCAGGAGGACTAAGAGGACTCAGACCAGCAGCAGGAGCAGGATCTGGAGAGCAAGGACATCCAAGGCACATGCACGTCGAAAAGGCTTAGCACCTGCACCAGAGACGCAGACAGCAGCAGAGCCAACGCACGGAATAAGTAAGTGCGAGCTGAATAAAAATGTCTTCCTTCCAACGAAAAAATCCAAGAATAACACAGAGGAGCACGGCCAGGTATCCTGCCAGTCTGGCGGGTTTTTGGGGCTTATGAGACTGTCGAGTACCTTACTCAGTGCAAAAGCTGCTAGAAGATAGTCGGGTTAAATCCTCAACAGCGACCAATAATGGTGGACAGGTCAGTTTGCTCACTTCAGAGGGACCAAGTGGTCTTGGAGCATTGCTAAGGACAAGGAAAAATTCTTATAGCTCTTATGATTTCATTGTTGTATAATTTCACGAAGAAATGCTTTTGATTTCTGAGAGTAGGGCGCATTTATATTAGCCCTAAGCTTAGTTTAAAGCCCATACAACAGAGATCCTTGTCCAAGCATTACCTCGTGATCTTCTTATCGAAGCGGATTCGAATGAACACAGGTGGACGACAAATGGCTGATCCATTGACCCAATGTCACCATTCAGACAAAGAATGGGCTCCAGCTTAGTGCTGTGCACCTTAAGCCTCCATCGACCCACTCCGTCCACTCACTTGTCCTTCCACGTAGGCATTCTGCTCATGTTGTCAGGAGCCTGCTAGACTGACATGTCTGGCATATGCAAAATGCCAACTGTCCTGGCTACCGAACCTATCCACATTCTCCTCATACCCACCCCCCATTCCCTCTGCTCTTGTTGTTGACAACAACAAGGGCAAGGACACTACACCAAGTGCAAACAAGGTGATGCTTCAGCTGGCAAACATACCAAAAAACAAGACGAGAGAAAGGAGGCAAAGACAAAGAGAGGATTCTGGGTATTTCCATCCCATCAACCAGCGCCCGTTTCTTTTTTCGGAGGAAGGACTGCCTTCAGTTTGAGCACAAAAATGGCAGAGGGCCGAATGAAACGCTTTAGGACACACACTCGGCGGAATTGGCTGAAGAGCGTAGAAGAGCCCGAATGAGGCATTGTGAAAAAGGCTTGATGGAACCGGGATCGACTTAAGTTGGAAGGGAAAAATTTAATTTAAAAAAAGTGCCGTCAACTGAAGGGGGTGCTTTGAATAAATTTCATATTACAGGGGTTCTAGTAATTGACTTTTGACATAGAACTTATAACTTCGAACTTGCATTTATTTTTTCCAAGGTATTTAATTTTCATGAATAAATACAAATCTATAGACCTAAAGGGCCTATCTTTAGTATATACATATTTTTATTTCAGTTGAAGCTCCTTTAAATAAATAGTTAACTTAAGTGTTGCTGTGACATTGTTTAATTAATGCAATTTAATTTTTCTTCCTTCCAGAATTCCGTTCACTTTAACTGCCATATTTTTTTTTGCGCAAATAAAAGGAGAAACAACCTCATTGATGTTGTATGGTTGAACAAAAAAAAGAAACATACAAACGGGTAAAATCCCTGCCGCAACAAGGAAAAGCGAAAACCAGGCCACGCCACTAACAGCTATCTTGTGGTCAATTATAAAACGAAAGTAAAAAAGGCGAAAAAACACATAAAACAGAACACAAGTTATCCGAAAAACAGCGGCAACATTGCGACGTGGCCATTGTGACCAATAATAATAATGGTTATGTTGCTGCACTCGGTCCGCCAACTCCCGCCATCAGCAGCAACGCGAACGCGGCGGAAAGTCCCGCCCACCAGGACGCATACGTGGTCCCCACTGCTGGTGCTGGTCCTGGCTCTGACCCTATCCGGATGCACTGCAGCTGGAATTAGCTACAGTAGCAATAGCGGCAACCTCAGCTCATCACAGCGCAGCCCCGGCTCGGGGCCATCGACCAGCAACGGGGGACTCGTACTGATCGGATCCAGCAGCGCCACTTCCAGTTCCGTGCCCTCATTATCCCTCACTTCATCATCGTCGGCAGGTGGCTCCACGTCCTCCTCCTCCACCAGCAGTTCCTCCTCCTCGGGAGCCCCGGGCAGCGGTAGCGGTGGCAGCGGTAGTGGCAGTAACAACAACCGCAGTGGGCGGCCCTCCGGCACCAACTCCAACTTCAATTCAAACTCGAATCATGATCAATTACCCGCCCAGCTAACCTCTCGGATTATCCATGCACGCAATGGCGCCATATCGGGCGTAATTGTCCAATTAGATGGCCGGCACTTGGATCCGGTGGAGGCGTACCGGGGAATACCCTACGCCTCGCCGCCGGTCGGCAATCTGCGATTCATGCCGCCCGTCTCGGCGGCCATGTGGTCAAATGTCAAAAAGGCGGACAGGTGAGTCAAGTTACCTCTTCTTATTAGGGTATTTGCGTGGGATTAAGCGAAATTGTTTCCTGAAAAGTTGGAAATTCATTTAAGAAAATAACAACACATTTTGCATAACTTATTTATATGGGTTTTAGAAGAAATTGTTGCAAGAATCTTAATTCAAAAGTAAATATGTAGTATTAAAAACTAGTTTAAATTTCAAACTAGTCTACAATCACTCTGCAAGAGTTTATCTCAACCAAAAACTTTCCACTTAAAATTAAAGCTAAAGTGAAAATGGTTAGATTTCCGGTAAAAGTGCCAGCAAATCCCATCAGGAGTAACAAGAACAGAACCCTCATCCAAGTAATTTAATATACTTGCCAACCGGCAAGGGAGTCCCTCCAAAAGCATCCTGCAAAAGGGTTGAATTTGATTTCCCCTTTCAAGTGCATAAAATGATCAAAATGCCATAAGTCAAGGGCTGAGCCGCCAGTCTCTCGAGACTGTCCAACAATTGTCACCTCAATTAACTGGCTCATTATTGAGTCAAGTGCGCAGGCGGCGGTCCGAAAATCTCGAGAGCCAACTGAAAATAATGAAAATAATGGAAAAAGCTACAACCCTTGCCAGGTCCGCGACAACCATGGACATAATGATAATGGCTTCTGAAAATAACGAATGAAAAAATGCGGAAAATACAAGTCAAAGGTCAACTAAGTTGGCGGCCTTCCGCCTGAAATATCTCGAAAATTAAATATTTACGCAGTCGCCAGCAGCAAACGGTGCGACGGAACAGCAACAGCGGCTACACAGCGGCGGCATCTAATTTACAAATGCTCCCAAGTGGCAAATCATTATTCACAAAGATGCCCAGAGATATTCCAGCTTCCCTTGTTTACCATTGTTGTAAAAAAAAGGGGGATGCGAAATGGGTATGCACTTGGAAAAAATAGTCCCTATGAATGCCAAAAATTTCTTTTTAAAAAAAGTTCTCGTAAAAAATGTATTACAAATCCTATAAACACATTTATTGGTTAAGATGTTCTAAAAGGAATCAGTTGTTACCCTACGAATCAGATTATAATCTGTGCTTACAGGACATTGTTAATGTCAATGAAAGTTAAAACTGCAAGTATATATGGCTACTAAAAATACAATATAATATTTTCCTATATAATCATAAAATCTTTTTTCAAAGTGCTCCGCGGCTTCCCAAGTTTTTCCCCCTTTTTCATCAAAACTCCAAGTCCCAATGCTGATGAAAAAGGGCCGCGAAAATCAGTACAGCGCACAACGGGACGAAGAAAATAAAATATAATTTTTCAAGTTTAACAAAGAACACCACCTGCGGCCGGCTGGCAGACCGATGATTCGCGCATTCTCGCATTTCCCCGCCAATTTTTGGGTAATTCAAGTCGCCAAGCGGACAGTTGTGTCGTTTCTGCGGCATCATCTTCACTTTTCCGGCGAGGTGAGCGGCTTTATTTGTCGGGCCGTCCTGTGTTGACAGCGGGGGGTCAAGTCGGAGGCAAGGGAGCCAATAAAACGGCTTGAGTAATGTTTAGGAGATTTTTCAGCACGTCAGCGTAATAAAGTTGTCCATGGACAGGTCACACAATAGGTCATTAGTCTGATTTTGCCCCGGGAAATGGATACATCTCACGTTGCGAGGGACGAAATATTTAGATTGTTTGGTGGTTTTTGGTTTACATTTTTGCAGTTTACCTTACCCATACCCTTTGAAGGATGCGAAAGTATTTAGCAAATAGATTTGGCACCCCTTTAGGAACCTTTCCATTTGACCTTTAGCTAAGCACTTTTCACCTGTACAAAATTCTGGCCTTTGAAATAAAGTTGATTCTGAATTTCTACCGACCTGAACTTTGTGTACCGCATATTTTTGCCACCGCAAGTTTTCCCGCAACTTTCATCGGGCCTCATTGCAAAAATAATTTCTCCCCATCGCAGAGCAAAAAAAAAATTAAATAAAGGGAGCTCAGCAGGAAAAAAAAGGAAATTATGTCCACACATATTCCTAGCCCGCCAAAGGCAGCAGCTGTTCATGGCTTTGACAAGCCACGCGTGTCACCACCAAACCACCGAGCACCGACCTTCCGCCTTTCACCTCCCAGCCCAGCCACTCCCCATTTTTCCCCAGCCACATCCACGCACTTTCCCCACCCACAAGGGCGCCATCGTCTTTAATAAAAATGAAATAAATTCTGCCAGCCACTTTGCACTCTTGACGTCGTTGTTGTCGTTGCTGTTGTCGTTGTCGTTGTCGTTGTTCCGCGGCTGCACATCGGTCCTGCCCGTTGCCTGTGGCGTAAGGATTATGAAAAACAAGCGGATTAGTGGCCAACCTCTCCTGACCAGGTTCTGCTCGAATCCCCGGTTCTGGCTCATAAACGAAGTGTAAAAATCGCAATAAACTGGCGAGTTTTATGCATGACGCCAAAGTTTTTAATAAAGAAGAAAGTAAAAGCTCGGCGCAAAAACGCTAAGTGGGGAAACTCAAGTTAACGATTTTCCTAATAAAAAAGCGCATTAATGAATGGAAGGCCCTGGGACCTTCAGAAATGTGCGTGCAGCAGTTTGAGAGGCATCTTTCTCGCTTCAACAATCGGGAAGCTGGCAATACACAGAACGAAATAAGATATATAAATAAGAAAAAGTTGAAATTTAAGAATATTTTGATCAAGAGAAAATCTTTTGAAGGCAAATGTTAATGAAAAACTAAATATTAAATGTATAAATAAATTTAAAATTTTCCTAAAATATATCTAGCTAAGCCTAAGAAGTTTTTGTAGTGTAGAATATGCGTGCAGCAGTTGGAGAGGCTCTCGGTCGCCCCAGCAAACAGGAGCTGGCTCCATCATTAAAAACGTTAATTCCAATTTGAGGCTCAAGAGCAAGTGGTAACCGCAAGGCGGCAAAGGCGGCGGAGGGTTAAGAGGGCGGCGCAGTGGCCCCCACTGCGAGGGGGCGTGCCTGCTCGAGGACATCAGCCGCATAAATTGCCGACTGACTCGACGGCGGGCGCTACAAACTGTTGCCCGTTTTAAATGAAATTGCGAAAATTCATTTTAAATTGGATTTTATTTAATTTGACTGTGGCAAGAAAGCTTTACGCCCGAAGGAGATTTCTCCGAGGAAGGTGTGAGCCGTGAGGTGTGTGTCTGGGTTGCCTGCCAATCTAATTTGCGGAGGGATGGAAAATGAGGCGCGGGGGGATACAACCTTCTGGCCCGTTGGCCACAGGTAAAATTAATCTATTTTACTTGACGTGGCCGCAATGTCGCGTATAATTTTATGCGATCCGGTGCCCTCCGCTCGTCACCTGCCATCCCCCATTGAAGACTACACTGCGAGGAAATGTGACACTCAGAAAAATGGTTTAAAACCTTTTCCCAATTGGAATTTTCTTTCTATTCATTTGGTTATGACCTGAAATAAATTTAAATTTAGTATTTACTTAATTCATTATTTAAAATATTAATAATCTCTAAATTAATCTTCGACATAACAGCGATTTTTGTTTTTCTCCGTGTATATGCGTGTACTTTTCTGCTTGGCCAAGATTATGCTTTTGTTTGATGTATTTAAGCCGAAAGCGCCAGCGGATCTCTGGCCAGGCTGCTGTCCTGGCTACCATTTATTTACCGCAAAGCGTTGCGTATCCCATCCCTCCCAGCTCCAAAAGTCGTTCAGAAGTCCCCGTGAAGCCCCAAGACCGTGACCCTCGGAGCTTTGAGGCGCTCTCCCCTGCATGCAGATTAGCCTGGCCTTCGTTCCACTCAAATGTACACAAAACTGGAGCGCTTTGGGCCAGCTTTGCTTTATGTTTTGTTTGTGAATTCCAAATTGCATGTATTCCGGAATATGAGAGATGGAGGTGATGGGGGCCTTGGCATGGCTATAACCTTGTTTGCTTTTGACCGCGTGCTCTGGCTACCGAGCAGTTGCCGTCTGGCCAGGGTCAACCATTCTCCAAATTGTTTGCACGCATTTCCCAGATATCTGTTTGTGGCAAATAATCTGCGATGAAAGCAAGCTGTGTTTGAGAGATGCAATCTGATATTAGTTATTAGTCCGAATTCAAATATGTTGAGGAAGTTCGAACAGGGATATTCCAGGACCTGAAGACAAGAAGTATTAGTGGAGTTAATATTATAGAATACAAATATCCAATATCCATTACCCTGAGTTCCATTCCGAACATATTTTTCCCACTCCTGGCACAGACTACTCCCGTAAAAATAGTAAGGTGCGCTTAAATAGATGGGCCATCAGGGAGACATGATTATTTGCTCCACAGCTGTCTCTACAAGTAATTATCAAGTTTTTAGTGCCTGGCCATTTGCAAATGCGGTATCGATGGCTGCCGGGGAACTGGTGGAGGAGGAGGAGGTCCTCCCCTGACCTTAATTGCGGCACCCGCTTTATTAGCTCAACTTGCTTCCCCGAGCTACCTGTGCCACCTGCATAGCATCTATGGCCACCCAGTCTTATCTGGGAAAGTTCAGCGCTTGCAAAGTGGCATAAACAAGATCGCTTGCCACTTGAGAAGTGCGCGCCATTCGTTTGCCATGGGGAGGAGCAACATTAAAAAGGCAAAATGTGGCTTTTATGACCTCGGAACGAGAGACAGGGGGAGCTGTAGCTGTAGAGCTTTCGGGGGATTTTCGTTACCTGCTCGCACAAGCACTACAACTACGGCAGTTGCCGTAAAAACTTTTCACTTTCATTATTTTTAATATTTCTGCTCATCCAAGCTGGTCCTGCAGCCTGTAGGGTTCCGAGGTTGACACCATGTCCGCTACATTAAAAAAAAATTATATATATAAGAAGGCGGAGGGAGGATGTGGCCCGAAAATGAAACTTTTATTACCTGCCTTATTGTTTTGCCATAAAATTAATGATTATTATGGCAATCGCATGGCCACCACAAGCGTCCATTAAAGCGGCGACCCACTGCGGGTCAGTTCCCGGAGCGCCGGCCACCATCGCGGATTCCCAATTTTCTGCGAGGCGTTTGAAACGCCATAAAAACCAAAAATTAAATATACTCGCCATGGAAAACAAAAAGCAGCTCCAGCAGTGGCGGTGGCAGTGGCAGTGGCAGCGGCGGTAATAACAAAGATAAAAGGGCAACAGCGAAATAAAGTTAAGGAAATTAAATAAAATAAATTCTCGTTTCGCAATGTCATTAATGTTAATGCATTTTGGGATGACTGGAAGAGGAAGCCCCGTAATGGCCAGGCTGATAGGAGGAACGGAGGAGCTTGGTGGTACTATTGATTTTCGCTTTATGACAATTTGATGGCCAAGAGGAGTTGTGGCTGTTAATGAGTTAAGCCCACAACTTCAAGGCCTCCCGGCATGTCAACTGTAAATTGGGAAGGACCTCGATGACAGGACACAGTACCAGACGAGTGATTTTTGAGGGTCGCATCCGGTTTAATTCATTAGTGGCCGAGTGGAGATTCCCTTTCGTGCGTTTGCCAATCCTCTCACAGGGTTATTGACGCAAATCTACCAATCAATTCGGGGACAGCTTGAAATTCGAACACACAGCATCTCATCTGCGGAGTATCGTCCCTAGAAAATGTTGGCAGAGGTGCATCCAATGTGGGGGAATGTGTGTCACCCGCCCACTAGTAGATAAGATTAAAAACAAATAATAACAATGCCAGCTCAAAGCAGCTGCCAGGATCGAGAATTGGTTGGTTTCCATAGAGCACTGAGAAAATGGTTTGGTTTGAGTAATTATTAAAGCTGAGGCTGTTTTAATTTAAGGGTATTAACATAAATAACACATGAATATTTATAATTGAAAAGCATGTAACTATTCTAAAATAGCTGGGAAAAACCTGAAGTTGTTTTGTGAGATATTCTGCGTCACAGAAATTATTCCACAGTGTATTCTCGCCACATCAGTTTCATAAATGAGCGCAAGGCCAACACAGAGAGAACGCTCATGGCATTTGCATGGCTTGGTCTGTGGGAATATTGGGAGAAAATCAGTAAATTGCACAAGTGCACACATAGAGACCGAGAGGGAGTGATGTGCCAAGAGGGAAAATCGAACGATAAGAGCCAAATCGAAAACCAATTTACCAGCATTGAAAATAAGCCTTGGCCAGAAAGAGGAAAAGGCAGGAAAGGATGGGGGGAGAACCCCGAGAAAACAAATTAAAACGCAAACTTTGCGTTCAAATCAAAAAGTTGTTATGGCCAAAAGACAATCACAAAGTTGACGTTCGGGGCTGAACTCCGCCCGGAAAACCCCCTCGAAGATTACGCAATTCTGGCAAATTAATCTATTTATAACGACATTCGAGGCTGGGCATAAAAATAAGCCTATTTACCGAAAAACTTTTTTTTTCGGTTTCGGTTTCTTTTTTTTCGGGAAACCTTTTTAAGGAGAACAGCCAAAAGCCCTACGCAAAATGCCTTCGAAGAAAGTTTCGCCCTTGACAAGTTTGGCACTGAAATCTTTTTCGATTTTTCAGATTCAGCCCCGTTTGCCCGCAACGACTGCCGGACATCCACAACGAGACGGCTGCCCTGGAACGGATGCCCAAGGGCAGGCTGGAGTATCTGAAGCGATTGCTGCCCTATCTACAGAATCAATCAGAGGACTGCCTCTATCTAAATATTTATGTGCCCATACAAGGTGAGTGCAGGGGCAGGGTAGCCCCCAACACCGAATGAGTTTGCTATAATTTTTGTCTTTTTGTTCCTGCTTTTTATTATTTTTATTTTTTTTTTTTTTGCACTTTGCTAAAACCAAGAAAAATGACACGACCATGCCGGGGGACTGAGTCTTGTTTATTTAGCACTTTGCAAGGCATTTGAATAAATTGGCAGACGCCATGAAAACGGGTGCGGGTAACTCGCCTCAATTTTTCTTCCCTCCGTTAATCCCTAAGGCCAATGCCAGAAAAGGGTCAGCCTTGGCAAAGTTTTAAAATCTCTTTTTTTTTTTTGTGAATTTTTCGTTCAGTTCTTGTTTTTTTTTCATTTCCCAGGCTGCATGCAAATGGACAAATGCTTGGGCATTTTTCAAATTCCCAAAGAAAAAATACGCTAAGCTGAAAGGGAGGTCCAAGAGTCCCGAATGCAAAGTGGCCAAATTTATGCCTAAAGTATGTCTGGCCCTGGTCCTGTTTGGGAAAAAATCCGAAACAATTTGCCACATTTGTCTGCAGCTGATTTGCTTTTTGAGTTTTGAAAGCGGAGAGAGGAGCCATTAAAGTAAATCTTAAAAAGGGATCGTAATAAATTCAAGAAATGTGATTTTTATTTACCTACAAGATTTGTTTTTGAATATATAAGTTTATTAAGCAACAAAAAATATAGATTTTCACTACCTCTAATATATATTAATTAAGTTTAATCATCCTCTACAACAGTCATTATTATTTACCTTTCAAAGTGGCCATCTAAAACTATAAAATCAATATAACAATGAAGTCAAATTTGAAAGTCTTTCATCTTTTCATCAAATCCTTTGTCCTAGTTCACTGCTTTTAGGAGCTTTTCTAGGTAATATTTTAAAGAACTTTAGTTCATCCATCGATCCACTCAACTATGTGTCTGTCAGTCATTCAGTCAATTCCAGTCGGACACTGGGAAATGCAACGACGGCAGCAAACTCGAACCGTACCCCGCTCTCGGGTGGGTAGTAAATTACATTTTAATTAAAACCCAGAGGAGTGGTGGCCGTCGGGAGTCGGGACGCGCAGCTCGGCTTAATGGGAGCCATCAGCGGCAGTCATTTGCCGGCTAACTGAGGCAACAGAGCCAGCTGAAGAAACTCGAACTTGGGCGCCACGGCACCTGCCAGCCAAGGAGTTGAAGAAGTGAAGTGCACTGCGAATCGAAGTAAATTTGATTGTCTATCAGCGCGTTAAGAGCTACATTTAATGTACTCTTCGGTGGCAATGGAGTTTCCGCCGCAAAGCGACTGTCTTTCAGGCTGTCAGTCCGTTAGACAGTCGTCCATCATTCTGGGAGACAGTTGCCTTGATTTCGCCGCTGGCTTTCAATTAACTTGCTGTTTCACAGGGCGTATACTTAATATATTTGCTTTGCTTAGATCAATTTTTGAAGCTTCATGATATTCAAAACCATAAAATTATGTTTTGTTGAATAATTCTACTTGAGTACAATTTAAATTGTATTTCCTAATGATTTCAATATTAAAACTAACAACTCTTGCAGTCTCAACGTGAAATAACATACCTAAAACCCATTTGGACAAAAGTCCAAATGCTTGTAACAATTTTCCAAGAATATTTCGAATGTCCAAGGTCCTTAGCGTAAGGAGTGTCCAATTAGATGAGTTTTCGTTGTTATAACAATGGCACATTTTTTTCTCGGTTTGCTGATAAGGAAAATGTCGCCTTGTCTGCGCATGAAAAATGAAGAAAGTAAATACCTATAGTATAAATAAAGATTCGCTCGAGTATGAAAGAATTTACATTTTACCTGCAATTTGTCTTCGACGGCAGATGGCAGGAAAGGTCCCAGCCGATGAAGGCGTGCCAACTTTGCTGAGTTGCAAGAGTTTTCAATTTTTTTCCTTATTTATTTTCCCAGGGAGAGGAAATTATGATAAATTGTTTGGGCCAGAAACTTGAGACGCTGCCCCAAATTGAATTGGAAATTGTATACAACGTATTTCGAGTGCAATGCTCATCTTCAAGGGCGGCTAATTGAACGAGCAATTTGTCGGGGGACAAGCCCCAGTGAAAGGGAAAATTAAATGTCTGGTTTTGATAATTGGATAAGCAGTCCCTAAAAAGCAGAGGGAAACTTTTTTGTGCATGGCAAAAGCCCAAGGATAAAGACATACTTACAGGGGGATAACAACCGCAGCCAATCCGTGTCCTTGAGCTTCACGTAATAAATCTTTTAAAACGGAGAAAATGAACAAAAACACCGAAGAATATGTAAATTTTTGACAGTTTAACTTAATGAGCTGAGGGCTCTGTGCTCGTCCTGGGTTTCCCAACTGTCAGAAAGGGCACCTAGATGCATAAATCATTATTTATTTGCGTCGGGTCTTGTTGAAGTGACTGGCCAGATAGGGCGGGCCAGGGAACCCTAGATAAAATTCAAGGTTGCCTATATTTTACAATCATTTATAACCAGTCATGGGCAAGGTAGGTCTTTTCACCTTTGATAGATATGAAAAGGTATAAATAAAATAAATGGCATGGAGAATCTATCTTAATATTTGTTAATTTTTAAATATATTCTTTTATGAATCCACTGAAATTATATAAAAGAAATCAAACAATTCTTTAAATGTATGTCAAGGCTGACAGAGGCTCACTTGGTGTCCGAACGTGTATGAATATGCTGCATAAGAAGTGGAAAATATACTTTTATTATCCTTAGCAAACACACACGCACACATAAATCTCTTGTGTCTCTTTTTTGTAGTCCACTTTTTGAGCTCCGTTTACGGGACTCGAGGAGCTGGAATTCGGGACTCGGGTCTCTGGTCTCTGGTCTCGGACGGATATGCAGCTAGTTTAATCTACTTGGACATGACAATAAAATTTATATCATCTTAACTTGCCTCTCTCTTTGGGCCGCTGCTTAGTGAAGTCCTTTCTCGCCTCTGTGGTTTTTATTTGCTCCTTGCCATCGCTTATTGCCAGCGTCCAGCCTTGGCCTTGCGCTTTATTTTGGCCTCTTTCTCATCTCATCTCGTCTCATTTTATTTTATTTGCTGCCTTTTTTATGGTATTATTGTTGTTGCTCTGTGTCCGTTGGCATTCTCTTTTAAGTCCCGGACTTGTTCTCGCTGAGGCGAGGCAAAGGAAAAGCGCCGAGGGAAAGTGTATAAAAATAAAAAAATAAACATACAAATGCCACATTAAGCATGATTTGCCGCTTTTCAAGGCAAAAGTCCATTGGGCTTTTTATTCCCCCCGAAATCGCTCCGACCGCTCCGGCTTTTTCGAACCCTCATCTGGCTTTGCTCGTTCGTGTGTAGATTCCAAGTTTATCAGCTGTTTGAATGTTGGCCATATTTTGTGCTTAACTGACTTTTGTTTGCCCACTGAGAAATGGACCTCCATCCGGTATCCCGTACCCCGTACCCCGTATCCCCTATTTGTGGCTTGGTGAAAAATTAATGTCATAATTTCTAATCTCCAGCATTTCCATGTGATTAACTTCTTCAAGCCTCACTTAATGGCGCATTACGAGGAGGCTTTGCTGCCCATTGACCAATTGATATATGTGATGACTTCCTTGACCTTTTCCCATATCGTTCGCTGTAAGACCCCGAAAAGCCCGCGCGCACAGGGCAATTGCATCTATATTTTCCATAAATCCATGGCAGCATTGTAGTTGAATTCGTAATGAAATTTTTCCTTTGTGTCTATGGTTTCGCTTGAATTCAATAAGCCAATCGAATTTTGCCGAAAAGTTGTTTGATTGCGTGAGCCAGAAAATAAACAAATATTTATCGTGTGCCCTGTGTATGCCGGCAAAGTGGGCTCTTGAAATTGATATGGGCAGAGGTATGAGTATGGATTTTGGGCCATCAATTTGGTTTTCCATCAGAAATGGGAATGTGTCAGAGATTGGAAATCGCAGAAGAGTGCAGGAAACCGATTGTTTGACAGATTTAAAATTCCATTTAATACTCAGCGTCAAACAGTCATACATGTAAGAATTATTTAGTTAAGTTCTTCAACAGAACATATTATTAATTTTGTATTTATTAATTTTTATTCCTTTTCTCAGTGTACCAATATCGGTTTGGCTATGGCATTGCCATCCCATTATCCCCTAACCCAATCGTATCGGGGAAACCCGACCCATTGAAAATACATTATTAATGAGGCGGGGGACGGGTTGAATTGTTGTGTGCCGAATGCGTGCCGCTCTCGTCACGCAAGCGGCACAAGGCGTCCCAAGTCAGGCGTCCCAGAAAAGCGCCGGAAGCGGAAATCGAAGCGAGAGCCGCTTGGTGCGTGATCCTGGTCATACACGGAAATGAAGTTTTCTTCTCAGCTTTTTTTTCGGTACCTAGCAAGAGTTATGTACACGAAATGACTAAATATATGTAGATGCTCCTACGTGTGTATATTTTTTTATATAGTAGTCAAATTAACACCAAAATGAAACTGAGGAGCACAGAGTACAGCACAAAAGAAAGGAAAAACAAGTAAACTTTTTACTTTGTCTGCGCCGCGTAAACTTTTCCTCAGCAGATATTGCAGTTGAATGAGACCGTCGAGGGGTGGAAAAATTCAGGCAGACAGAGACCAGAATGAGGTTACTTTGCTCATTTTCTTATGCCAGACACAATTGCCAAACGCAACGAGGGAGTAGGAAACGGAAAATTTCGAAATTACATTTATTATTTCCCCTGGTCCTGCATACCATTTAGTGTCAAGTTTTCAAAGTTTTCCATCAGCATTTGCATGGAAATCTTAAAGCTCTGACTGGATTTGTCAATGCCAGAAATACCTAAGACAACTTGACTTGGATTGACTGAAATTTCAATTTCATTTCTTATCCAAAATTATTTGGAAAAACAACTACTTTAAACAAAAGTTTTATGAAATCGTATTTGAAATAAGTGTTTAAAAAATCCTATATTAAGTGGGTGTCAAAAACAAACTTGATAAACAATAGATCTATAGA